CCTCGTGGCGGGCAGAGGTCTGCCGCTTGCAGCGATGGAGGCAGAGCTGATGCTCGCCTGCTTGCCATGGGCTTTGGCTGGCTTCAGCTATCACATATTTCATTATGTGTCCTGACAGTTTTAGAAGGTGTTTGCAAAGTTTGACAGCAGTTTATCAATGGTGAAATGGCTGGATTTAAATGAAAATAGCTCTTTGTAATATTTTTTCTTTTTTTTTCTTTTTTATTTTATTTTATTTTATTTTTTTTTAAAACACGGAGGCAGTACTGTTAAAGCTCTGTGTAAATAGATTTTCTGTGTTATTTTGGTTCTAGAATTGGCATCCACACTGCCCCTATTGCTTGTTTTCAGTCTCTCCACTCCTCTGTAATCTTAAGTAGTTTGAATGATTAGCAGCATGAGGGTTGATTGTATTTGCTCACTTGGTGTATGGGTTTGTTACGTGTTCATGGGTTTTACTCAGTTTCGTCCAAGTGGGTCCCATTTCCCCATCAGATGCATGATTAACCTTGCTAAAGGTGAACAGTGCAAATCTGCTAGAAAAGGAACAATATACAGGGCTTGCCTGGGTGTTCATGTTTCATTTGTGGGATCATAATATCTGCCCAGACTTCTGCAAATTATAAGAGCAGAAATCGTGCTCTGGATTTTTTTTTTTCCTCTTAATTGAGTCGAGGCATTTGGAAAACAAACAAACAAACACGTATTTAATTCCAGGTATCCCCTTCTGTGCTCAGACACAAATAATGTGTCTTTTCAAGGCACCAGGGCAGCACCAGGCTTGCCCCTGGAGCTCGCAGTGCGGCTGCATTTGGGAGGAGGGTGGTCCGCGTCCGGGGAGCCAGGCATCGCCACCTGATTTCCCGTGGCCGTTTCCCGACATGGGGCCTGATGTGCCTTCACGCAGGAGCGTCCTCCCCTCCGGCGAGGGGCATTGCGGCAGTGCGGCTCTGACCGTCTCAGCGCTGCGGCTCCTGCAGCGCCCGGGGAAAAGCAGCTGGAGGCTGGACCACGGCTGGGGAGGGGATGCTCGGTGGTGGGGAGTGCTGGGCTGGGGGGGGGTCTGCCCTGCAGAAATGTCCTAAACTCTGACATGGGTCTTCTTGTGCTGCCCTTCTCCCCCTGCCCGGTGTGTTTCAGGACATGGAGGCGTGAATCAGCTGGGGGGTGTTTTTGTGAACGGCCGCCCCCTCCCCGATGTGGTTCGCCAAAGGATTGTGGAGCTCGCCCACCAAGGGGTCCGTCCGTGTGACATCTCCCGGCAGCTCCGCGTCAGCCACGGCTGCGTCAGCAAAATACTTGGCAGGTAAAGGGGAGTTGGGGGGACAGCATCACATCGTTCTGTGTCTGAAAAAAGAAAAACGTCAATGCTAGTCCCTTAATTGGAGGCTGCAAACAGATGGGGAATAGTGGAAACCCCGGGAATCCATGCAGGGAGCACAGGGGCTGACTGACCAGTTGGATTTATCCACCTAATGTGGGAAAAAAAGTGACACTGTTCGTGTCTCTGATTTGCTGCTTCCACAGGTTCTTACAGGGAATTATAACACGTGGGGTGTATTTGATATATATATGGCATATATCTTGCACTGGACAAGTAGAGAAATCTGGGAGTCAACTTCAGTAAAATGGGAAAAAAAACAGAAGTTGTGCGACTTACTAGTTTTGCTTTCTAAAGAAGACTCTCTTTTAGCAATAATACAGTTATATATGGTATATATACATCAATACTGCCCTGCATTCATTCACAAAGGGCATTTTGCAGTCTGTCCCACTGTTCAATGTCTTTTGCTACTGTTGTGCTGGAATACATTTTTAATTAGAGTGCAGAATACCATAAGTAACTATTAACCATCTTAATTTTGGCTATTTTGTTCAGGCTGGAGCTGCTTGAACCACAGTGGCAACAGGAAATGAAACTCTGAATGTGTGTAATTTCCTGATTTTGTTTTAAAATTTGACATAGATCCAGGTCAAAAATACCATCCTTGCTTCTTTATATCTTGTGGACAAATCTAAACATAATTGGTGTAAATTATATTGTTAAAACGGTTTTGGAGTTCAGGTATTTTGAGATAGTTGATCAACTTATAGTAAGGAAGAGATTTTTTTTTTTTAGGGTATGTTTTTCTTGATAATAAGGAAAAGTTAGTTCCTGAACTATTAACTTAACTTTCACAGTTAACTTCATTGTCTGTAATTTTACTCTTTCTATTTTTCACTCTTTTCAAATTTTTAATCAATTTCCTTTCCTGGACGTAGCACAGCTGCAAAGACCGTTAAGGCAGTTTTTTTTGTAGCTTCACACAGGGGATCTGCTTAGATTGGCAGTATTTACGATCTCTCAATGGCCATTCCAGTGTTCAGAATCTGACCTGGCCAAGTCTCAGGCCCCTGCCTTTGTACCTCTTGGCATTCTTTTCCCCATAATCTCGTTTTACCTCTACTTGCCTTAACCAGCGAGCGCACCCCGCAGCCCCGCGCAGCATGTAGGTTACGCTAGGCGTCCCTGTCTCTGCTTTTTCTCTACTGCCTTCCTCGTGGGGGGACACATTCCCCTGCAAGCTGCACACCTTCGTCCCGGTGCAGGTTTGATGCACTGATGCCTTTACTGTTTTGGAGAGGAAGATTTTCCGTGGGGTTTCTCCGAGAGCTGCCTGCCCACCGTGGGCTGTTCCACTTGGCTGTGGCTTTGCATCCGTTGCCAGCACAGCATCACAGGGTGATGCTCTCCCTCGCAGCAGACTTGCCAGCAATTCCCATCAGGACCAACATGTGGCTAAGAAAGGGGAAATTTCGTTCGATGGTTTTACTTTTGGTAGTTTGAGTAGATTTACCACTGGGTATATTTGCAGCGTAGAGCTAAGAGCGAGGCTCCAGAGCTTTGTCATTAAAGTTGTCAACAATAAATTGGAATTTCGTAGCTCATTATTTTCATAACTAATAATTACAGTGGGTAAAATGTCACTGTAATTGCAGCTCTGTGTGTGTGTGTTTTTGCGCGTGTGTGGAAAACGGGAATCCTTGTTACAAATCCTTACATTTGGAATGTTATGGTCGGAATTTTTCAGTCCTTGTTGCAGACTTGAAAAATATCCAGAGTAAGGGAACCAGCAGTGCAAGTGATGCTGTCCCCTCAGAGGAGAGTCCTGCAGGGGTTGCGCACTCCTCGCCCACGCTGGCACCTTCAAGGGAGCAAAAGGCCCTGGACCTGCCATGCATAAAATGCAGCCGACTGCAGCCATCCTTAGCTTTAAGATGGAGCCAGGAGCCAGGGATGCCCGTGCCATGCACCCTGCTGGCTCCCTGGGTTCAGGAGGGGAGGTGGTGCTGTCCCGAGTGCCCTGGGGCTTTGTCCCCCCTGAGCGTGGCACTGCTGCAGAACGGTGCCGGCGATGGCATGGTGCCGGTGCTGGCCGTCGCCGTCTCGGCTTTTCCCGCTGCGGTGTGTCAGCCGTGGGAAACGCTGTCTTGTCCACATGGACATGGCTCCCTGAGCTGCTTGCTGGGCTCTGCCATGGGCTGTCCCACATCCTGGGATGGTCAACAAGCACCATGGAGAGAAACGCTGAGGAACATTTGTAAAAGTCTGTGGTTTTGAGTCGGAAGGAAGAAAACAATGAGTTTTTGTTTGGTAGTGTTCATGGTATTGTCTGGCTTGCTTCTGCACCCTCCTCACTTGTCAGCAGCCAAGGGTGCAAAGTTTGTGGTTCCAGCTTGCCGTTGTTTTGTTGTGCCCGTGGGAGGCACGGGAGGAGCTGGATTTTACCCCCCTGCCCTATAGCTCACCCCTGGGCTGCATTTAGGGACACCGGGAGGGTGAATCCGTCTCTAGCACTTGGTGCTTCTCGTTCCTAGTGTTGCTTAAATGGCTCACGGAGACCGGTCCATCTGATTCTGCACCTGGAGTATTGGAAAACATGCACCAGCAGCGCGGTGTCAGTCTTTGTAGAGGAATTCCCCGCCCTGCACACAGAGCTCTCCCAAAACGATGAAAACCAGCAGCCTGTCAGGAATCTGATGAGCGTGGCTGCACGTTGCAGCAAGGCAGACTTGGGCTGTGCAGCCTGCTTGTGTGCTGCTCACCCTGGAAAGATTGGGGATTTTTTTTTTTTTTTCATATAATGGGGACGTCAAGTAGCTGCAGAGAAAATATATTAATGAGCAGTGTTTTGTTCTTAGTTGGGAGCCTTTTCTGAGCTTTCTGTTAGAAACACAGGCAGGGAGTACGGGGGTGGATGCACTGGGGATGCAGGAGTGTGCAGCTCGGTGGGCACCCGGCTGGAAGGGTCGCAGAGTCGAAGTCTGCTCCATATGGAAAGGATGTGCTGGGTCAGGAAGTTGACCTGCTGGACACGAAGAAGTCCAGTTGGGGAAGCTGGGGTTTACTTTTAATCTGGTTGCAAGAAAATTCACAAGGTACAAAGAAGTGCACAGCCGGGAGAGTGGAGCATTGCGCTCACCGGCAGCGCAGAGCAGCACGGTTTCAATCTTGGTCTCTGTTCTGTCCCTCAGTGGATAAGACGTGACTTCTGCTCGTTGCAGCATGTTCAAGGCCTCATTTATTAAAAGGGGGAGACTGGTGGGGCTGGGGATCCCAGCTGCAATGGGTCACACAGTTGCTCTTGTGAGATTTATATGTGCAGAAATTTGGCAGATTTCTGTGGGTGTAGGGATGTGGTCCTGCACCTTTCCTGGTGTGGCATCTGCAGGGTGGGTGTGGGTGCTGCACCTGAGGAAGGGACACAGGACTGACCACAGAAACTGACCCCCACATCGCTAGACCCCTCCGGAACACGGGCAGCTCCCTTTCCCTTGAAATTCATGATTGGAACTACTGGAAACATCATGTTAAAAAGAATGCATCATGAAAAATACTAACTACTGAAACCATTATACGCATATGAAAACCACAAAATGTGAAAAAAGATATGTTGGTGCATTTATGCCGGAGGTGCAAAGAAAATAAAATACTTAGCCTTCGTTTCACTGTGAAATGATAACAAGCCGTAGCTACTAATGATGGAGAATTTCCGTAGAAACAGTAATTTACTACAAAAGAGTCCATGGCAAAAAGTGGTCTTTGGTGTGATTTGTTTCTATTATTGCCAGTACTGCTGATTAATAACACACATTTTCAGTTAATTTTGGATCCCAGCATGCCCTTTAATCTTGCATTGTTTCTTTTGTCTTGCTGTTACGGAAAAATATGTATTGTATCCAGAGGCCCAATTCCAATTACTATAAATTAATCTATTAGGTGATAAAGCACTACATGGGCAGAAAATGTGCATGTGGAAGTGAAGATGTATCTCAGGATTTGCCGGGGTTTGGTTACCTTGAAATTATGTTCTCTATAAATCTCAAGGCATGTTCTCTGTCCATTTCTGATAACCAAAGCTTTGTTTTGGATGTTGTCCCAGGTATTACGAAACCGGGAGCATTAAGCCTGGAGTGATTGGAGGATCAAAACCAAAGGTTGCCACACCCAAAGTCGTTGAAAAAATCGCAGAGTATAAGCGCCAAAACCCCACCATGTTCGCCTGGGAGATCAGGGACAGGCTCCTCGCAGAGCGAGTGTGTGATAATGACACTGTGCCCAGCGTCAGTTCCATTAACAGGTAAAGGTCTATTTGGTCCTGGGGAGGGATGCTCCCTGGAAGCGCTGTCCCTGCATCCTTATCCATTATCAGGATGGGGTTTTCTGGGCGGTTTGCATTGCCTGCATCTTGCAGGCAATGCAGCTTACACGAAATGCAGCTTGCAGGTCCTGCTGTGCTGGGGCTGGGGAGCAGTTGTGGGCTCGCCTCCATGGCCAAAGCATCACAAATAATGAGGATTTTCTTGGAGGGGGCAGGTTCTGCTGCCCGCTTTTGCTTCTGTCCACTTCTTTCCCATTCCCCAAGCTGTGAGTTGCAATCCAGGCTGGTAACAACCTTACGTGTTTACTCGGTTCGGCTCGATGGCCAGGTCTCAGCTTTTCCCAGGGAAGAGCTCAGACACCATTGAGCAGAACGGTAGTTTTCTGGGAATGGCGGGGTCTGGAGAGGGGAGACCCAAGGCATGGGTCTAAGGTGACACTTCTGATGCCTGCGCAGTGTTGCTGAAGTTGTCCCAGAACTGTGCTGGCGTCAGTGTGGATATCACTGGGGGAGTTTGGTCAGCAGCTTTCAAGCGCCTTGGCCGTCCATGGATGCACTTAGGTGGCCTTGAATGGCTTCTGTAAAAGTGCAGGACGATCTCATGTGGAGACTTGATCCCACACTTGGGAGTTTTGCCACAACCTTGCTGGGCAGGACTGGGCTCACAGAGGGGTCTGGAGCTGTATGACCCTGCTGCCATCTCAGTGGCGCCTGCTGTGCCCACACACTTCTGAGTCGAGGCCGGTGTTGAAAAACACCCAGTGAAATACTCTATTCTGTCTCCAGCCCTGTCAGACCGATAATCGGGGATTAACACTTGGAAGGCAGAGCCCCTGGGCAAACCCACGCACACCTGGACCCCCGGCAGTGGCTTCCTTTTGTTTCTGCCCGGGAGCGTGCTTGGTGCTGGGCTCTGACCCCACCACACCAGTGAGGTGTTTTTCACTGGTGTGGTCACATGCAAATTCTTTGAATGCAGCTATAGCTATAAAGTCCCATCTGCGCCCATGGATGGGAAATAAATTGGTGCAATATTCTTTTATTGGCGATCCCAGCCTGATTTGCATTCATGGAGTTGCTGCTTGAGTAGCTGGAGTGGCTTCCCCGGCGTTGGCAGGGAGCGGTGGCTCTGTCTTTGCCGAAAGGAATGCGGAGTTGCTAGTTCATGTGTTCAGGAGCAAAAATGGGTCGGTTCCTGCGCATCCTCTGCTGCTGCCTGGGAGCTCCCCACTCGCTGGAAGTCCCAAGCAGCATTCCATAACCTTACGGACGTGGCGTTTTCAGTTGTAAAAGGGATTTGAGAAATAATATGGACACAAGGCAGAAGGAAAATCCTACTCTGATTGTCCTCAATCAACTAAGGGCAAACTGCTTCCACCACAGCCAGCCCAACCCAGCCGTGCGAGAAGCATCGCTGCCGTCAGCAGCCCTGTGTTTGTGTAGCAGGACTTGGAGCATCCTCCAAAAACCTAACAAAAAGGCAGTCATAGCTCTAGAAAAGCAAGAGACGAAGTGGTTTCCAGATGTGTTTTGAGGCGGTTTCCATATTCCACCTCTTGCTGCATCCTTGCGTGTTTCCACACTGACAATGTCCGTGCACCTGCTGCCGTTGCATCAGAAACTCGTTTCATGATCCGCCACCAAGGTTTTGGCTGGAAACCTCATTCTTTCTCATCTGCTTGCCACTGCAGTGAAGATCTTTTCCTTTTCTTAAAGGTGTGAAATCCCTTTTTAGAAACACGCACAGTCTTTTTTTGAGTCGGTCTGTTTACCTGAAGAATTGTTTTTGCCAGCCTGGGAGCACCTCTTGAGAACCCAGACAAACTATCATCACAAGAAACCTGGAATTCACATCAACACACTTGGCTTTAGTGCAAAATCATCCCAGATCCAGCCTGTGGGTTTTGTCCTAATATTTAAAATTAAGTGTATACTTCAGGGCTCTGCTGGTAGAGATGTCAGATGCCAGGGATGCAGACCCTTACCCACGATGCCCCTATTCATGGCCCATCCGGTGCTGCCCTTTCACTGCAGACCTGAACCCAGCTGAAATTGCCCGGCGTGGTCCCTGTCCCACTGCAGGGAGGGTGTTTTTTACTCCGGGCGAGGGGACGGAGCCACGGCACTGCTTCCCATCTGGGTGATCCCCCCACGATGTGCTGGTCCCTTCCGGGAGCTGCTGCTGGTCTTGGGGAACGACGGGGATGCTGGGATGGACCACGGCGCCTTTTAGCAGATAAGTCTGTGCTGCCCCCAAATACGACTGAATAATAACTATTATTATTAATTAATAACATTAATTAACATTAATAATAGGCCACTCTTCCGCAGCAGGAGCAACTCTGTGTGATTAAGGCTTAATTAATCATTGCGATTAGTTTTGCTCAAATAAGCTGAGAGCTGCCCAGCTGCCTCGAAGCACTCCAGCCCTCCGACCCTCCGAAGATGAAGATGTTTATGTGTCACAACGCCCTGGACACCCTTCCTTCGCCATGACGTCAAGCCCTTGTGCAGGGGGTTATTTCCCCTCTTGCCCATGCAGGGTCCCAGGTCTCTGCCTGTGTGTTCTCCCCCTCGAAGATGCTTGCACAGCTTCCTGCAAGCCCCGTGCTGGGATGGCTGCCCCCTACCCCTGGCAGGGGGACTTGCTGCTGAGGACCCGTCTGCAGGAGATGTCTGGCATCCCCACGCTGGCTCCATCTCACCCCTCTGCTTCCCTCTTTCAAATTCATGGCAGGCAGAAATGGGAGAGGAGTTTGATAGGGAAGGAGAGGAGGAACGCTTAGCGCAGCATCGCTGGTGTGCACACAGTGCGTCAGGCAGGGCGATGTGGGGAGCGTGCCTCCTTTGAGCCTGTTTCCATTCTGCCACAGTTGGTGGCAGAGCTGTGTTATCTCCGGAGGTGTTTCAGACCCCGTCTTCCCTTTTTTCACGCGGGGCTGGCAGGTGGGCATTCGGCCGAGCCGCTCCCTGGCTCTTGGCAGATGCTGCTCTCTGTCCTGCATCTGGTTTATCTGCATCTCCGCATTTTTCCTGATTGACATTGTTAGCAATCAGAGCAGAGGCAATGGCAAAGTTGTTATTCAGCTTTTAAGTTCAGCATTTAATCCAACACTTTATTTTTTTTTTAATATAAGTCTGCCTAAGTGGTGCTCAGGTTCTCTAGCTGTGTGGGTACGCGGGGTGGTACAGGGACAGCCTTGCAGGTGTGTCCCAGCACCCAAGGGTGCAGATCCCAGCCTGCTGGGATGCCTGGAACCAGGAGCATCCAGGGTGTGCTGGGCCCAACAGGTGCCCAAACACCAATGTGCATCTCTTTCCTGGGTGCTGAGGATCAGGTCCTCAGAGGGACTGAAGGACCAAACTCTGGAGCATCCCAAGGAGTGTGTTGGGGTTGGTCACCCCACCGTCCCCAATAGCAGGGGCTGGAGGCACAAATGTGGTCATGGGTCCCCCCGCCAAGCTTCGGTCTTTCTGTGGATAACAAGAGGAGAATGTGCAGAAAGGTGTTTTTCTGTTGGTGTAGTTGTCCTGAACTGAAAAAAATAGTGTCTGATGCCCCCTGCAACTGTCTGCTTGATGCTCAGTGATCATTTCTTTTCCACTACCTCCAGGATCATACGGACAAAGGTGCAGCAGCCACCCAATCAGCAGGTCCCAGCCACCAGTCACAGCATAGGTAAGGGAAACTTTTTTTTTTTTAAATATTAAAAAAAAAGAGAGCACAATAGATTACAAATATTCTAAAGAACTTTTAATCATTCTTATGGACAGATAATTCTGCATAAAACACTCCAGCACACGTGCTAATGCACCTTCTTTGTCATTCTCCAAGGGCTGAACATAGTAAATGAATTTTATAAATACTGCTAAAAGGTTTTGAATTTTACTGATTATTATGATAAATAGCTTTCACCATGAGACAGAAAATTGAAATCTAAACCAAAAAACCCCCACTAATGGGGGTCTATAGAATGTCAGATAATTAAAGTAATAAATCAAGAAAGGGATACTTATTCATAACATTTTCTGCATCATTAGTCAGTAAGTAGTTTTGAATGTGTTTTTATCATCTGTCAACCATCCCTTCCATAATTCTTTGTGCACTTGCAGTCTTGAGTGAAGAGGTAGCAAAACTTTCCGAAACTTTAATTTATCTGCAGACCAGCGATGCTGCGCCCTGAGGCAGGCGATGCTGGCGGAGGGGGTCCTGGGGTGGGGGGTCCCGGCTGCTGGGGCATCCTCAGCCCTGCATGAGGCTGATGGTGTTTTTTGGGAGGTGGGGAGTGGGCTGGCACAGCCAGACAGAGCGCAAGCGCAGAGCTGCGTGAACTCTGTGGGCTTGTCCAAGACATTGCACTGCAGCCCTGTGTCTGCAGCATTTCCCTCCAGGAAATGCCCAAACCATCCCAGAGCAGGAAAAGCATCCCTTGGTTTGCTACAGTGGCTTGAGGGATGTCTCTCCTTGGGGAAAATGAGCAGAGAAGAGAAATCTTGATTCTTACAGCTTGGCAGAGGTGGCAAGGATTTCCAACCCCGCTTTGCTCCGTGGGGGCTGTGACTAGGGGTCTTCAGTGCAGCAGTCAGGGGCCTCAGTGCTTTCTGGGGTGCAGGGACTTGCCCGCGCAGGCTCAGCCCTGGAACCCCCACAGCATCCCGCGGATGGGGTCTGCAGCCCTGGCCAGCATCTCCAGGCTGCTGTCTGCTGCGATGAATGACCCACCTTGGCTGGACACAGCCAGCACCCCTTCCTGAGGGCTCTGCTAGAGCAAAGTGTATTTATTTCATATTTTGGGGACCCTCAGGGCCTTTTGGCCATGTGTCCTACTGCTGGCTACAGCTAAAGGGAGAACATCCCCCCAGCCCCCAGCGCACACCCTGTCCCCTGGTGATGGGGGTGAGGGGGGACCACCCCTCTGCTCCCACCCCTGCACAGCGGCTGGGCTGGGTGGGGGTTCTTCTGGAGCTGGGGAGGGTCTGGTGGCATTCAGGCGTCGTCCTGCCCGCTGACCACCTGTCCTCACCTTGCAGCCTCCACAGGGTCCGTGACCCAGGTGTCCTCCGTCAGCACCGACTCGGCCGGATCATCCTACTCCATCAGTGGGATCCTGGGAATCGCCTCCCCCGGTGCCGAGAGCAACAAGCGCAAGCGGGATGAAGGTAGCGGGAACTTTTTTTTTGCATGGGGGGTGTGTGTGCCAGTGCACGGCCAGGAAGGGTGGGATGGGGTGGATGCAGCATGCGTGTGACGCGATGTAGCTGCGGACCCCCTGTCACTGCCTGCTGTGGGGGGTTTGGTCCCAGCTGGGGACCTTTGGCGTGAGCCAGCTGGACCCCTTCAAGGAGCGGGGACATGTTGGGGTGTTTCGGAAGGCACTAGAGGGGTGTCATAATTTTTAACCAGACCCTCCTCCTCCTCCCAGCGAAAAGGGGAAGAGTCACAATTGTGTTGGCTCTGTGAGCATCCAAAATATAAAATGGCAGAAGGGTGTCCCCATGCACAAAGAGACAGAGAATTAATGTCAGAGCTGTCTGTGATGCTGTGTACCCCCAGCGTCAGGGGCTGTTGTCGGTCCGGGGGTGGGAACAAGTGCAGTCTGGTTGTGTTGAATGATGCTGGTGCTCCTCGGATCAGCTTCAGGGTTTGTGCTCCTGTTTCGTCCTGCATCCTGGGCCCTTTCATAAGGAAAACACTGCTTTGGAGAAGAGGGTGTTGGGAAGAGTGTGGAAGGGAAAAGAGGAGAAATTCTCCATTGGTGTCATATAGAAATTGCCTTTAATCTACAGCATCCCTTCCATTTAGTGAGAGCTTAGAGAGGAGTTGAGGCTGGGGCTTTGGATGCGATGCCAGAGCCATCGTGGAGATGTTGCCATTGTGGAGGGCACCAGGAGGCGGGGAGCTGCCTGCTCCACAGCAGCACCATGGGATGGGGGTCCCTGTTTGCTCTTGGTGGGGGTGCTGCCATCCTGCTCGGAAGCATCCAT